CCAGAAGAAACCATTTTTAAGACAGATTATTAGATGTCAAATACTGTTCCTTTATATTGTGATGCAAATGGAATATTTGTAGGGCTTAGACTTCACCTTAAATAGAATTTGCTGTGTAGTGAGCCTCCCTATAAAAATCACTGATCTTGGAACTCAACCTAGGATGCTTAGTTACTTAATTGCTAACAAGACACCCTTAGTGAAGAGATTCTCCCTGTTAAATGATCATAACAGTGATCAGGCATCCCAACTTGCTCTTCCATTTAATCATCTCTTTTCCTTTAGGTAATAGTGATGATATTCATGCTAAATTGATGTATTTCATATTCATTCAAGACAATACAGAGAGACTTCAAGTTTACTAATGCCATCTTGACTACCGTCAAGTAACCTTTCCTTTCTTTTGCAATTTCCAGCTCAAGAGTATCTTATAGTACAATGTGACAGGAAATTCACAAACTTGAAGCTAAGCCTTTCCTGCTATAAATTAAACCTGTTTCCTCTTTGGTGTAAACAAAATTCTTAATTATCACTCCCCTTTTTGACAATCCCTTCATAGAGTCCAAGATACTTTGATCTTCTTATTCCTTCTCACCTCTAGAAAAGGACTTAAAAAAAAAGCCTCTATTATTTTTATGACTCATCTAGAATCTACATCTAACTTACACAAGCCAGAGTATCCCCTGCAATGTACAGAGCTTCACATACATTTTTTTTTAAGATTTGTTTATTTATTTGAAAGAGTAACACAGAGAGAGAAGGAGCTGGAGAGATGTCTTCCATCTGCTGGTTCACTCCCCAAATGGCGGCAACAGTTGGAGCTGGACCGATCTGAAGTCAGGTGCCAGGAGCTTCTTCTGGGTCTCCCACATGGATGCAGGAGCCCAAGGACTTGGGCCATCTTCTACTGCTTTCCCAGGCCATAGCAGAGAGCTGGATTGGAACTGAAGGAACCAGGACTCGAACTGGCGCCTATATGGGATGCTGGCACTGCAAGTAGCAGCTTTACCTGCTACACCCCGTTGGATGCAGTTCTTAGCACTTGGCTTTGGCCTGGCACAGTCCTGGCTATTAAGGCCAGGAGTGAACCAGCAGATGAAAGGTCTGTCTCTTTCTCTCTATCATCTCTATCTCTATGCATCTCTATCTCTGTCACTCTTTCAAATAAATAAAAATAAATCTAAAAGATAAAAATAAATAAAATGAGCTATATTAGAAATCATATAGAAAACTACAGACAGTTTTGGTCTACAACTGACAGTTGAAATGTAAAATAATCAATAAAATGACAAATACGGAGTTTTTCATAAGATGGCCAAAATGGCTTCCTTATGAACAATTTTAGATGTTGCATACTCACCTCAGCTACTGCATGGTATAAAGCATATTTTCAGATAACTAGGGCAAAGTTAATAACTTCAAAGTAGAAATAAAAGCAAACTGAAAACATAGTTTGAAGGCTAAAACAATCATTTCAGTAAGTCTAAATTTAGCATATAATCTACTAAGGAGTGTCCTTGGCAATGGAATTGAGATACAATACACACCAGTGACCTCTTTGTGTCACTGGGAGCTTTCCTTGGCTCCCTTTTGCCCTATCTTTTCACCAGGTCTCTGCTCTAGGACTATTGATGTCCTCCCAAATGCCACTAGAGAGAAAGCTTTTTATCACAGCTAATCTTTTCTCAAGACAAATAGTATTCAGCGTGAAAAGAAAGTTACTTGTTAATTTATGTTGCTTAGAATTCTAGTACAGATAAAGGAATTAAAAAAAATTACCAACAGACTGTAATATAATCAGGAACTGGGTAAAATTCAACAATAGGAGGAAGTCAAATAGGCTGACCTTTCCCAATTGTTTTATTTTTTATTTTTTTATTTTTTATTTTTGACAGGCAGAGTGGACAGTGAGAGAGAGAGACAGAGAGAAAGGTCTTCCTTTGCCATTGGTTCACCTTCCACTGCGGCCGGCGCACCATGCTGATCCGATGGCAGGAGCCAGGTACTTATCCTGGTCTCCCATGGGGTGCAGGGCCCAAGCACCCGGGCCATCCTCCACTGCCTTCCCAGGCCACAGCAGAGAGCTGGCCCGGAAGAGGGGCAACCGGGACAGAATCCGGCGCCCCGACCGGGACTAGAACCCGGTGTGCCGGCGCCGCAAGGTAGAGGATTAGCCTAGTGAGCCGTGGCGCCGGCCCCCAAGTTGTTTTAAAACTGACATGTGTGTGGGAGTTACTGGTGTGGTTTCGTTGTAGCTTCTGTTTTCATAAGGAATTAGGAATCTGAGCATGGAAGTGGCCAGTTCTTTAAACTAGGAGAACAAGAAAGAATATATCCATCCTTTAGGGTAGAAAAGTTATTCTAGCTAGGGAGCCTTTTCCCAAGATAAATTTCTAATCAAGCGAGTGAAACCCAAATTGTGTTTCTCTAATGCTATTGACTTACAATGCCTTGAATAGTGTGGAGTCTGAGGGAGCAAGGGATGCAAAGAAATACAGAACCACTAAGTTAATAAATGGTGTCTTTTCTTAAAACATATTTCTATTAAGTTGTGCTTGTAATGTGTTTGAAAATAGGTATTCTTAGATCATTATTATAGTTGTTATTATAATGTCTACGTAGACTGTGGCTCAAGTATTTTCTAACATGATACCTGCATAGTGTTGTATGTCGTATTTTGTTTTGTCTTTTCATATAAATACATTTAACAAATTACCAAAAAGAAGGGCCATTATTAAACCATGATTTTATTTAGGTTTATAAAATATGGGCACTAAGATCACACCCCATTGTTGAACAGGGGCTTACTCAATTTATACTTTTTGGTAAAAAAGTAATTCCCCCAACTAAGAGTGTCAATGCGTTTAAACAATGGATAGTAGAAGCAGAATCCTCAGGTCAGTCATTGGATTGTATCTTCACCCCAAATTGTCCCATGTTACAAATATTCAGCTCCAAATCAGTAACCAAATTATCTCCTACTTCTCTAACTTTGCTGCCCTTTCTCCCAATACTACCCCTTGAGTCTTCATGGACGCTGTTGATCTTCCATTGTTTCCTATCTCTGCCAGATTCCTGCCCAAGATTTCTTAGTCCACAGTTTTAACATCTTTCACACTAACATCATTCCACATTATTTTTCCTTCTGTCACATCTATCCATCCTCAATCCTATCTAGATTAATTAACTATATGTTCCCATGGTAGTGGAGTAGAAAGAGAAAAATCTCATCATTGTTTTAATGATAATTGCAAATTCATATTTTTATCTATTTTACTTGCTGTTATTTCTCTTCTCATTTCCTATGAAAATGCTGCTAATCTTTTCATTATTTTCAAGCCTTCCGCCTTATTTTCAGAAGCTCATATTCAAGGAATGTCCTTGACTAATGATTCACATAAAATATAGGAACTACTAGGTCGGTGCCTCTTGATTTCTTCTTATTGCAACTTGACAGTATTCTCAGTCATCTTTTCACTCTCCAAGACCTAGCTCAAAATCTACCTCTTTTTCTTGTGAATACCCCTGGATCATTCTCTACTGTCTCAGGTAATCAGTTTTCTTTTCTTTGAATTCTAATCACTACGAATATAATCACTATCAAAAGGACCAATTTGTAGGGATATATCTCAAATTTTAAGCCCCTTGCCAAGTGCATATTAAGCTTTAGTTCAGTAAATGTAGACTATGATGTTTATCAAGTTAAGTTTTTAGAGTTTAACTTTTTAAAATAGAAAGTGCATTCCTATTGTTCAAATTCCAATAGGACAAAGAGGCATCCAAAGCATTCTTACATACCTGGGTCAACCTACCAAGTTTCTTGTGCATTTTCTAGTTATTCTTAGCATATGGAAACAATTAAGCATATTTTCCAACTCACATTTTTGTATACATAGATATTATATTACTCAAAGTTACATGCTCCTCACTTAATAGGTAGCAGATTATTTCAAAGCAGTACATAAAGTATCTCTATTTGATAGATACATAATTTGATGGATTAAAGACAGTTACAGAGGGCTACAATGTGGAATAGTGGGTTAAACCACCTGTGACACTGGCATCCCATACTGGAGAGCCTGTTAAGTCCCAGTTGCCCAGCTTCTACTCCACCTCCCTGCTAGTATGCCTGGGGAAGCAACAAAAAACAACCCAACTGCCTGGGCCCCTCCCACCACATGGGAGACCCATTGAGTTCCTGGAAACTGGCTTCACTTTGGTCCAGTTCTGGCCACTGTGGCCAATGGGGAGTGAACCAACGAATGGAAGAGCTTGTGCTCATTGTCTCTCTCTCTCTCTCTCTCTCTCTCCATCACTCTTCCTTTCAAAGAAATAAAATAAATCTTAAAATAAAGAAAGTGTTGTGTAGCTGATAACTGCTGCTTACAACACTGGCATCCCATATGGACATCAGTTTGAGTCCCAGCTGCTCCACTTCCAATCCAGCTTCTACTAATGGCCTGGGAAAAGCATCAGGAAATGGCCCAAGTGCTTGGGTCACTAACCACCCACATGGGAGACCCAGATGAAGCTGCTGGCTCTTGGCTTTGGCTTGGCTCAGCCATGGCTGTTATGGTCACTTGGGGAATAAACCAGAGAGGATGGAAGATCACTCTCTGTCTTTCTGTCTCTGTCTCTCTCTCTGTTTATCGCTTTCAAATAAATAAATAAATAAATATTTTTTAAAAAAGTTACAAAATTCTTTGTCATTGCTTAAGTAAAAGGTGAAGTCTACTTCCCTCTCCTTATATCTAGGCTGGATCTGTAATTTGTTGTGTTCAATAGAATGAAAGAAAAGTGAGGCTGTATAACATCTAAGTCTGGTTTTTAAAACATCTGCAGCTTTATTCTCTGAGAATACTCCCTATTGGAATCTAGCCACCATGATGGAAAAAGCCCAAGTCATGAAGAGAAGCCACCTGGAGGAGAGTTAATGACAATGGACTCTGGTCATAAATCTCAGCTGATTTTCCATCCAAGATCCACCACCAACTACTAACCACGGGAAGGAGCCATCTTGGACATTCCAGCTTGGCTGAATCTCCAGATGACTGCAAATCCAGCTGACATTATATAAAGCTTTCCAACGAAGCCCAGTCATTCCTGAAATTGTAGGGAAAATAAGTTAACTGTTAACTGTTTTAAGTCAATACATCTTGTGAGTTGTGAGTTGTGAGTAGCAATACATAATTAAAACACATAGCAATCTATCATGTGGTATACTCTAATTCGTTTAACCCAATCTCCACTGATGGACATTCAGGTTGTTTCTACACTTTTGCTATTGCAAATATATTGCAATTAGGCATGGAAATTTGATACAGCCAGTAAGATGCTGCTTGGGATACCCACATCCTATATTGGAGTTCCTGAGTTTGGGTCCCAGATCCACTTTCAATTAAACTTTCTGTTAATGTGCACCTGGGGAGGCAGCTGTTCATGCTACAAATACTCGGGTTCCTGCCACCCATGTGAGTGACTCAAGATTGGTTCCAAATTGCTGGTTTCAGCCTGGCCTGCACCTCATAATTGTGTCATTTGGGGGAATGATCCAGTGGGTGGACTCTCTTTTTCTCCCTGTATCTCTTTCAAATATAATTAAATATATACATAGAAATTAGTAATAGTGCAGATAGGTCATTTTTGTATTGTGAGTATAACTGTGGGATGAGTTTCTAAAAAATAATTCTGTATTTAAGAGGATACGCCTTTGTAATGTTGACAGGTATTACAAAATTGCTATCCTAGTAGATTTCACTAACTTGTACTTCTACCAGTAATACATTTTTTTACTTTTGTTTAATAAATATAAATTTCAAAAGTACAACTTTTGGATTATAGTGGTTCTTCCCCCCATAACCACCCTCCCACCCACAAACCATCCCATCTCCTACTCCCTCTCCCATCCCATTCTTCATTAAGATTCATTTTTAATTATCTTCATATACAGAAGATCAACTCTATACTAAGTAAAGATTTCAACAGTTTGCACCCACACAGACATGCGAAGTATAAAGTACTGTTTGAAGACTAGTTTTACCATTAATTCTCATATTAAGGACAGAGGTCCTAAATGGGGATCAAGTGTACAGTGATTCCTGTTGTTGATTCAACAATCAACACTCCTATTTATGATGTCAGTACTTCTACCAGTAATATATGAAAGTTCTCCACTACCCTCATTAACTTTGTGTGTTAGCAAATTTTTTATTTTTGCCAATCTAATAGGCATAAAATAGTATAATCTTAATTCATAATTCTATTTCATAAGTGAAGTTGAGAATACTTCAAAATATTTAGTAGCCTTTGTATTTCCTTTTAAATGAATGGCCCATGTCCTTCGCCTAGGTTCTATTGTGATATTTGTTTTTTTTATGCTAATTTATAAAAACTCAGAAGTTTAGTTCTTTATTTATGAATTGCAAACATTTTTCCCAGTTTGTCATTTTTCTGACTTTATGTAGCCTAATTTTTGAGATGCATGATTTGATGTAGTCAAATTTATAAGAGTGTGGGTCTTTTCCAGTCTGATAACTGGAAATTCTGCCTTTTGTTCTAGTGCACTCTCTAACTTTACTTTTAACTGTTTACTAAGATACAAATCCATTTTTTTCAGGGTTTTCTGTTGTATTTCATGGTCTATTTGCACATCTTGCCTATGACCTGTGTGCTCCTCTAGGACAGGAAATCTGTCTTCTTTGTGGCTGTATCCTGAAAATCTAGCACAATTGCTCATACATAAGACTCTCAATAAGTATTGATAACCACAAGAAAGAAACTTTAGTCCTACACTAAATTCCACAGATAAAGCTACTCTTTCTGACATCATCTGGGAAGAATCTGTTTAGAGAAAGAAGGAAGCTACATTTTGAACAAGCATGTTTGAAACTAGAACTTAAGGCTCAACAATATAGGAACATTTTTTTTCTTTTTTCCATTTATATTTACTACCTGCCATGTGTGACTTCTCTTTCTTCTGATGCTAATTAATTAACTTAATACCACCGGTGCCAAAAGTTAATTTACCATCCTCCACACAGAGACCAGTATTAGAGGCCTAGAGTGTTTATGGGTGGATAGGTAGTTTAACCTAACCTAACCCCTATCACAATAATTCATTTAAATTGGCTTTCACCCTGGCTTTATAGGTCCTCTAACTCCACAGACTCAGTGTAACTCTCTAAAGAGACTGATTAAAAAGCAAACCAATCCTGATAGGAGCCTCTCACAAAACAAACATGAAATATGATTTAAACATTTGGTAACCAAATACATAAGATATTCAAAACAAAGGAAATGTGTTGCTTTCATTGTTTGTTTTTAGTGCTGCCTCTGCCCTTCCAAGGAATGTCACTGCTTTAAATTCCACTCCTCAACATACACTTACTGCTCCTATAAATCACCTTTTGATTTACCTAAGGATCAGAACTCTACCATTTGGCCAATTCTCTGGCTCTAGTATTTTGTGACTTACAAAAGAAATTGTTTGCTTTTTTATTTTAAAAAAGTTAAAAAAATATTTTACTTTTTAAATTTATTTATCTCTTGTTGAAAGGCAGAGAGAGAGAGAGACAGACAGACAGATACACACACACACACAAATCTTCCATCTACTGGTTCAGTCTCCAAACACCTAAAAGATCCAGGGCTGGGCCAGGCTGAATCCAGGAAACTGGGCCTCAGTTCAGGTCTCCTATGTGGGTGGTAGGGACCTAACTACTTGAGCCATCACCTGCTGCCTCTCAGGGTGAGCATTAGCAGAGCAGGGATTTGGAGCAAGGCCAGGACTTGAACTAAGGCACTCTGATTGTAGGATGCAGGTATCCCAAGTGGCGTTTTAACTGTTATGCCAAACACCTGTCCCCTTAGTGATTAACATTTTATGGTTCTTTGTAATGTCTCTGATACAGAAATATGTGTATGTAAGCACATGTGTACTCAGAAAAATTCTATCTTCCTTCTTCTCATTCCTGGGTGCTTTAGTCAGAAAAGGAGATATTTTAGGAATGACAGAAACTTGAGGAACAAAGCCCATTGTTGTTGCTTGAGTTGAGCTATGGCTAATAGGAATCCAAACGGATAAGATAAAGTACCTCTTCTTCCCCAAGTAGTAGTCACTTCCACTGAGAAAATATCTGAATACTGCAATGATTAACAATTTTATTTAATTCCCATTAAATGAACCAGGTTCTCTTCTTTCAAGTGTAAACTGTATTTATACATTGCCTTTTCCTGTGTTTCTCAAACAGCCACAATATAAACCATTCTTTTAAAAGGCTTAAAGTTTAGTTGGTCTATTTCACTAACTTAACATTTTTTTCACTGTATTTTATGCTAAATTCACAAATTTCACATGATGGTTGGAAAGATATATTTTTACACTGGCTTAATGACATTCCTTCACTATGCTATGCTCACTAGATTTTATTTATTCAGAAAATACAATGCATCTATTTGAAATGATCTCTGGTTAAGTTTGTTGAAATATAACAGATTCATTTACAGAGTTGCAATTCCTTCCTCAACTTAAAAAAATGAAATTTTTATAAATGAAGATAAAATTAATAGAATCTAAAATGTCTATCTTAAATGGTCATGTCTCAATGATTTTGGAACTTGAAAATAACTTAACATGGCTAAAATGTACTCTTTGCTATCATACTCGGGCAAAACAACTCCAGGTTACTTTAAGAATGTTTCCTGATAGAAAGCAATAAAGACAGAAGTATTCAGGGAAATGATCACCCCTACTATTGTCCTTGTAACACAAAGAAATAGTTTGTTCATGTCCTCAATTTGAAGTCTTTTTGTACTCATGAATATAGGGTATCCAAAACATACGTGGTGCTTTAAGGAAGTCAAAATTTATTTGATGTTTTCCCATCAAAAAGTGGTGTCAATTTCCTTCTTTCCTAGAATTTGGGAGAGCTCTGTGACTGCTTGGAACAATAAAACAGGGATGTGAAACTGTGCCAGTTTCCGGGGTCTAGGCAGTAAGGGATTGGAAGCTTTCATTTCCTAACCCCTGGGACACTCTGATGGAACTGGGAGAAGCCAGCTGCCATGAGAGAAAGCCACACTGAGATACTATGAGAGCTGAGAACACCTATCAGGTCTCCATTATTCAAACCATCCCAGCCTAGGCACCAAGACCAGTCATCAAGAAACCATCTTAGACCTTCTCCATCCAGCAAACATCTCCTGATAAAGAACAATTACCCAAGACATACGGCCCTTAGTCTAGCCATTCCAGCAACCCTAATCTATTCTTAGAATTCTAGCTATGGCCAAACACATTGTGTATCAGAGATAAGCTGTCTCTGCCGTGCCTGTCCTAATCCCTGATCTACAGAATCATAAACTTCATGGATATATTCATTATCTTGATTCTGGCAATGATTTCATAGTTGTGTATGTGTGTGTGGTCATCAAACTGTATACTCTAATATTCTGTGCCCATTAAACATCAATAAGGTTATTAAAAAAGAAAAATTTTAACGATTCATGTGTTACACCACTGAGTTTTCAGATGTCTTGGAATGTGACAATAGAAAAGCTGAACATGAACCTCTTATTTTTATATTTATTTTTCTTCATACTTAGTAAAATTAAAATGTTTTTAAAGTATAAAGTGGGCATATGAAACTTTCAAGATATATTGTTCTTTTTTATTATATTCAATTTTTCCTTGACTATCTGTATAATCCAGAGCATAAAACAACAAAATGAGTTGATCTTTTCTAAAGTTTTAGTTCAGTGCTCACTATGAATGCACATGATAGCAGGTATGGAATACATCATAATAACAAACATTCAGGGCCTGAGCTGTGGCACAGTAGGTTAATTCTCCCCCTGTGGTGCCGGCATCCCATATAGGCACAGGTTCTAGTCCCTGCTGCTCCTCTTCCAGTCCAGCTCTCTGCTATGGCCTGGGAAAGCAGTAGAAGAAGGCCCAGATGCTTGGGCCCCTGCACCGGCATAGGAGACTGGGAAGAAGCTCCTGGCTCCTGGCTTCGGATCAGCACAACTCCAGCCATTGTGGCCACTTGAGGAGTGAACCAACGGAAGGAGGACCTTTCTCTCTCTCTCTCCCTTTCACTGTCTGTAACTCTACCTCTCAGATAAATAAATAAAACCTTAAAAAAATAGCAAACATTCATTGAGGACTTCCCAGATGCCAGATGCTAAGCCATCCATACCTATATATGGGTATTTTTTTATTCCCAACTTTACACATAATGGACTGAGGTACAGAAAGATACATTAAGGCATTAAGTCAGGTCCTGTTGACTTACTCAACTGAATGCCTAATCACTACTTCATTATGTGCTCTCATTAGGAAATAAAATTATGACCACAAATCTGACAAAAATGAAATCTATCAGAGAAGAAAAAGTAAAGTTAGTGATCTTTATTCTGCCCATTTTGTTCTTTATTGTAGGTCAAACTTGCATGATTCTCATTTGTGCCTACATTCTAATCAATGATAAAAAAACAAAACAAAAAAAAGATATTCACACAAAGAATTTTAAAGAACCAATTTCTGGTCAAAATCTAAACTGCATTAAAGTACTGTTCTTCGTAATCTCAAAGAGCATTCACGAGATAATACAATATTTCCCAAACTTCAGTTAGCAAATGGGAGAAGTGGCAAAAATTGAAATAGAGGAAAATTTTGTCTAAAAATTCTAATAATGTAAAGCACATATTTACATTTGAGCTTAAATCATATATATATAAATTACATAAATATTACTTATAATATACTTCTGCTAACAAAATTAGAATTCAGGACAGTAATGAAGTCAGAAGCAAACAAAATGTATAAATAGCTGGTTTTTATATCAGTCTTCTTGAGCTCAGAAAAACAAAACTGTAATTCCCAAGGAATATATTTTTCCTGTGATATGTTTCAACAGGTTTGATAGAAATGCTTTTTCTCTCCTCATTGTACTATTAAGTTTGCTGTGTGCCACACATTACTAAGCATGAAAAAAATCTTCCTACTATGTGCAAGAACGCTGAAAATGTATAATTTCTAAGGTGTATGAATAACAACTTTCATTGTAGTTTGGAAATGAAAATCTTGTATTGATACATCTTCGTTTTAAATAAATGAATCACAGGGGTTCTGACAAATTTTATTTTTAGATCACATGAAAATTTTAAATTTAGTAGATATACAGCAAGAAATCAAAAATTATATGAGCATTTGGTGTAACAGTTAACATGCTGCTTGGGATGCCCGCATCCCACCAGCTCCACTCCTGACCCCATCTTCCTTTCCAATGCAGACTTTGGGAGGCAAAAGTGATGGCCACCCACATGGGAGACCTGGATGAACTTCCAGTCTCTTGACTTTGACCTGGCCCAGACTGGCTGTTGCAGGCATTTGGGAAGTGAATCAGCAGTTGAAATATTCTTTCTCTCTGTTTCTGCCTCTCAAATAAATAAAAAAATTTAAAACACTAACAATTAATATTAAAACTCTCACTTTAAAAATTCAAAAGTTTCTGGAACAATATGATTTTAAAATATTAGGAACCATATGAGAAAAGGAAAGTAAGACATTCTTTGTATTACTATAATCCAATTCGTGAAATAGTGCCTCAGAGACTATCTGAAAACCACACTATTCAATTTTCCAGTTAATAAGTGGTATTTTATAAAGTGACTTGATCAAGTCCATAGGCTTTTTCTTTATAATCTTACTAGATATCCTTGATTTTACTCAAATTCATCTATTTTAAAGTATCTACTGCCTCATCCAATGTGTGTCAATTTCTCAGAAAGCTAGAATAAGTAGCTCTGCTTTGTAATTTATTTAGAAAGGAATGCTATTGCATGGTCACTTAAATTCAATTTCCTCAAAACTTCTTTAAATAAAGCTGCCAATTTATTCTAACATAGGTAATTCTAGGTTCTGCTTTCAAATTTGCCAATTTCTCTGACTCACATTCTATGATGAAAGTTCTAATATTTTGCTAGATTAGTTAATATTGCCTGTTGAGCAACATGTTCTATCAATGTACTGCTTTCAGCACATGCTAACATGTGTAGACTAGAGAATGCTAAATCTCTTTGTGCTCATAAATTTTCACTTTTTAGTTGATAAATGGAATAAGGTATTATGTTGAAAGATTTTGATTATATTTAAATATAATTATGTTGCAATAATTAGGGGGTAAAAAATACCTCCTATTTCTTTGAAATCGTATACAGTGGAGGCTTCTTGGCATCCTAAGTGAAATATAGGAGTATGCCAACATTTATATGTTAGTCCATTTTATTTGAGTAAACAATACTTTCACTAATCTTTTGTCACATCCCCAAGTATCATTTAAAAAGAACTACACTGATTTAATTTACTTAATTCTATTTAAAACTTTAAAAGATAACCTATCCAACGTCAATTGGAGCATCACTTATATTTCTTACATCATGTGAGTTTAAGTATTTGAGTGCATAGTTATTTATACTAAACAATCACTGGTCACCTTTGGAAGACAGTAGGGAACCAATTCATTATTTTAAAAATTGGTTAATAAGGGAAAAGAACCATATATTTATTCTGCCTTTCTATAATGAAATGAACTTTAGGATAACAAATGATTGATAAAAGAAAGTTTCTTTTTATCAAAACAAGCAACCAAAAAATAAATGAGAAAGGGATGACAATTAGACAAACACCATTTGGTAAGTTAATTACTTGAGTGGTCTAAGCAACAGCCAGTGGCTTTGAATATCACACACACACACACACAGAAAGCAACCAGATATTATATTCTCCTAACAGAAATATATACCATTGCTGATGATACAGTCTTTCCAACTCAATCTGATCAAATCTTCAGATCTAGTCACCAATTTGCAAAAATAATAAGGAAGTGTACTAAATGAGGTATAATCAACAAAATTCATACTGTGGAAACTGTAGAACAAACAAACAAGTTTCTAGTACAAATAAAACTGTAAGGGAAAAATGAAGAGATGGATAAAGATATTTAAAGATATTTAAGAGATACACTTACCAGGTGCAGTTCATGGATATGTATTAGGCTTCAGCAAAGAAATAAAACCAATAGCATAGAGGTAGATGTAGAAGAGAATATTTTATGGGAATTGGCTCATGTGATTGTAGGGGCTGAGAATCACATGATGTACATGCAGTTCTCCAGTAAAGTAGATTGTGTAATTCAGTCTAAGTCTAGAGCCCAAGAATCTGAGAGTCCTCAGAGCTGTTGATGCTAAGTCCCGTATTCTGGAGGCCTTAAGAACCTGGAGCTAAGATGTCCCAAGGCAGGGAAAAATGGATGCCTCAGCTCCAGGAGACAGGATTCCCCCTTCCTTTGACTTTTGTTCCGTCCAGGCCCTCAACAAATCGGACCCAACAACATTGATTTGGGAGGATCTTCTTTACTCAGTTTACTGTTTCAAGTGCTAATCTCTTCGGAAAATGCCCTCCCAAACTGACCCAGAAATACTGTTTCTGGCTGTGTGGGTATCCCATCACCCAGTAAAGCTGACACATAAAATTAGCTATTTCAGAATGTTATTTGGATTCACATTCAAACAGATTGTTTATTGGAGAAATTGTTATATTTGGTATTTGATGACACTAAGAAAATTTTCAGTTTTGCAGGTGTGCTAATGGTATTGTGGTAAAAAAAATGTCTAAATGTTATCTTTTAGAGACATACTGTGAAATATTTATAGTCTAAAAGATTTATTATCTAGAATTTTTCAAAATAATCCAGCAGGGTGGGAATGGATGGGGAGTGAGTGAATATTGAACATGGGTTGATGATTGTAATGCTATTTTATGAGTACATGGTGGCCTGTTCTACTATTTTCTCCACTTCTGTGCAGGTGGAACTTTCAAAAACAGAAGTTAAAAACACAGGCCGGCGCCGCGGCTCAGTAGGCTAATCCTCTGCCTTGAGGCGCCGGCATACCGGGTTCTAGTCCCGGTCGGGGTGCTGGATTCTGTCCCGGTTGCTCCTCTTCTAGGCCAGCTCTCTGCTATGGCCGGGGAGTGCAGTGGAGGATGGCCCAGGTGCTTGGGCCCTGTACCCCATGGGAGACCAGGAGAAGCACCTGGCTCCTGGCTCCTGGCTGCTGCCTTCGGATCAGTGCAGTGCACCGGCTGCAGTGGCCATTGGAGGGTGAACCAAAGGCAAAAGGAAGACCTTTCTCTCTGTCTCTCTCTGTCTCTCTCTGTCTCTCTCTCACTGTCCACTCTGCCTGTACTGAAGTGATAATGAGAAAAAGAACAAAATGATGAGGTCTTAAAAACACAGAAAATACATGGAGCATGAATTTGGTAGAGAGAACACGGAAATTGTAGTGGAAACGTGGAAACATCAATAACTGTCTAAATATTTGAGTTTAAAACAAGGTTCTGGGGCTGGCATTGTGACACAGAAGATTAAGCCACCTGTTGCAATGTCACCATCTCATATCAGGGAGTGCCAGCTGGAATCCACTTCTGATCTAGCTTCCTGCTGATGCACCTAGGAAGGCAGCAGATGATGGCCAAAGTACTCAGGTCCCTAACACCATCTACAATAACTCGTTGGAGTCCAGTTCCTGGTTTTGGCATGACCTAGTACTGGGTGTTGTGGCCATTTGGGAAGTGAACCAGAAAATGGAAGATCTCTCTGTCTCTGTTTCTCTCTCTGTCACTCAGCCTTATTAATAAATCAATTAATTTTAAAAACCAAACAGGGTCTCTGCTGTTAATGAGCTGCATGACCTTGCTATTCAGTATTGGACTGCATTTGTTTGTTAGGGCTACCATAACAAACAAATTTATCTTCTCACACAGTTCTGGAGACCAGAAGTTCCAGGTCTAGATTTCCACAGGTTTGGTTTCTTCTGAGGCCTTTCCTCTTTTGCTTTCAGGTGGCATCCTTCTTGGTTTTGCAATTCATTTGTATGCTCTTTTTCTCTGTACACACCCATCCCTTGTGTTTCTTTGTGTGTTCAATTTTCTCTTGCTATAAATACACAGATTGGATCATGATCCAAACTAATGGCTTCATTTTAACCCAGTCATCATCTTAAAGGTTCTGAGGTCCTAGGGGTTAGGGATTCAACAGGAATTTGCTGCCAGGGGTGGAGGGAGTTGGGTCACAACTCAGTACATAACAAGTCCATTCAGGATCTTAGTGTTTTCATTTGTAACATCAATACCATATTAGCCGCTTAAAATGATCATCTTCAGTGTTGACTCAAAAGCTAAACCTTTGAAGCTGTATTACAAATAATGTAGCCCAACATTTGTATTCACTTCTTGACTTCTAGACTCAGAATTCTCAGACTTGTTTTCTCCAATGTAGTAGTCACATATGCAACTGCTAAGCCCTTAGCATATGACTAAGATACGTTATGACTACAAAATTCACTAGATTTTGAAGTATGAAAAAATATAAAATAGCTCATTAATCAGTTTATATTGATTACATGTTGTGATATTTGAGATACATTGAATTAATACATTATTAAAGTTAATTTCACCCATTCCTTACCTTTTAAAAATGCCTACTAAAACGCTTTAAAATTAGTTATGCAATTCACACTATATTTTCAAAAATACAAGTACATGTTATTTGATCTAAGTCTTGCTTTGAGGACCTTCTTAGACTTCAAATTTATAACTCTAAGAATTCTTTTCTTTGCTTCCTCAATAGATGTAACTGATATTGCTGTTTTTATTAAAATCCTCAGTAATGGATAATCCTATTGTTTTTCATCACTTCTCAGAGAAGAAAGAAGTTTTAGAATAGGTTGAGTATCCCTTAATCAAAATGCTTGGACCAGAGTGTTTTAGACTACATTTTTTTTTTAGAGTTGGAAATATTTTCATATCATAGATTTACTGGGGATGGTACCCAGAACTAAAGACCAAATTCATTTGTGTTTCATATACATGTTATAGACATAGCCTGAAGATAGTTTTAGACAATTTTTTGTAATGCCTGCATTTCTACTATGACACATCATAGGAGATCAAATGTGAAATTCTTCACTTGTGATGTCATATCATAATCCAACAGTTTAGGATTTTGAAATATATCAGATTTTTGTTTTTCAGATTAGGGATAATCAATCCCTAACAATGATTGACAAAGATACTCTTATTTTTCATCTGCCTATGGCAGTATATATGTTCATATTTCAGTTACTTGCAGTTCTATTAAAACTCTTATGTTTCAATTTTATCAAACAGAACTGGGATTATAAATATTTGCAGTAATTATATATATGCTGTTTCTAAATCTTATGATTGTAATTGTAATTTTGTTTTTATAAGTTAATTTTAAGAGGAATAACTGCGGATAGTATTTCATAATCAGTAATTTTTCACCTTTTTTGGAATGTAAAATATGATTAATATCCTTTGCTTTTATTTAATCCATGTAGTTTTAATTAGGGAGATGTAAAATTCATTAAGTAAGTTTACTTATTTGTCAAGATGACAGTAGTACAAACTTATATGATTAACTTGGTCCATAGTCTATATCCTTCTCGAGTAGTCTCCAAGATTATCGAAGTATTTCTACAAATTGAAGGCAAATCAAAGAATGAAAATGAACCTATTTTTAAAAGAATTTTAAGGTAGTGGAGTAAGAAAAAAATGGATTTTGTAAATTCAAGTTTTTATCAGATGCCTTGTAATTAGATCTCACACTTAATAACCTTAATTTTGAGTCCTTCAAAATCGTCTGTTATTAAAGTTGGCATAGAATCTCCAAATAATAATTTTTGCAGTATAAATATCCTCCCAAACAATTTCTTAAGTTTCCACATTTAATTCTCAGATGTTTGGACTTCTTTTTTGGACTAAGCTAGAAGAAAGAGGGGAAAAGGAGAATGGGGAGAGACCTTTGGTCAAAATGGTTTTGCCACCTAGTCATGGATCACCACCTTATCACAGAGAAAGCAAAATACTGTAGAATGGACCACTGAGTATTTTGCTTCTCTAGTGAATGTGCTTCAAACACTGCACAACATTACTAAGCATAATAGAGTCAATGCAAACATTAATTTAGCTTAAATAAGTTAAATAATATAGTACATGATGATCATAGATTATGATATGATTTAAATTGCTTACCAGAAAAAGTGGTTTCATTTTTTTTCCCTGGTTGTTTCAAGGGCTTACTGTGCCATTTAGCACATATTTAACTTCATTTAGCCTCTATCAAGGACAGAAACAAGATATTTATACAAAATGCTTATATTTTGACACTAGATGACTAACTCTGTAACACGGAGGTAGAATCCATGATTACTTCAAAGTTCTGTAAGGCATTGCATTATTTTTGAATGTTAAATTTCAAGTCCCTATAAACAAAAGTGTTTCATTTTTATTTTCACAGCAGTCTACTGAGTATTATGAATTCCTTTTTTAAAAAGAATTAAACACATCTATGTACCCAAATATGAGGAGGAAAGGTGTAGTTTCTGGTTAAGTCATTATCTCTCAACATATTAGGCAGGAGATCAAGCTAAGTGCTACCATTATGGCTAAATGTAAGTCATAAGTACAAGCAATAACACATATTTCCATGTGCACCTTTGAAGGAGGAAATACCAACAAGTACCTTTGGGGTTGAATAAATTCTGGACAAAAATTTATGTTTCACCTTGTCCTACCTGCAATTTAAAAAAAGAATATGGCAACTATGTAACAGTGAAAAGATTGGTTTTTATAGCTCATTAATGATTAGCATATTTCTAGGATAAAAGTAAAATAGAAAAAAAGATAATTCCATCCATTTTACTCAACTACAGCCAAGTGTATCTATTTAACACTTTTAAAATATGGAAATCATGTAGAAAATCCTAAAGCAAAGTTGTTGAAATTCACTCCTAAACATTTAAAAGTATTTTCTTTCCATTTCCAGAATAGAATTTTTGAGCATAAGTTAAAAGGAGTGCTTGAACTCTTAACAGGACTGGAGAATTTACAAATTAAAAGTCCTTACAAATTCATCTTTGCTAAAACCTGTTTTAAGTACTTTCATACAGTTGGAAAAGATTAATTTCATTGTTAGACAAACATATTGTCTAATTATATCATTTAAATTTTTGACTTCTGGGGTTGGTGCTGTGGCGTAGCCACCTGCACCAGTATCCCATAGGGGTGCTGTTTGGATCCCAGCTGCTCTACTTCCAGTCCGGCTCCCTGTCAATGTGCCTGGGAAAGCAGTGAAAGATGGCCAAGTGCTTGTACCCCTATACCAATGTGGGAGACCTGGGAGAAGCTCCTGGCTCCTGGCATGGGATGGGCCCAGCTCTGGCTGCTGTGGCCATTTCAGGAGTGAACCAGTGGATGGAAGATCATCTCTCTGCCTCAGTCTCTCCTTCTCTGTAACTCTTTCAAGTAAATAAATAAATCTTAAAATTTTTTTTGACTTGTGAGCATATAACTCATCTTCGATGTATGTAATTTTACATTCTAAGTGTAATTTCAAGCACATCCTCTAAACCCCTTAAATGGAATAACAGTTATGCTTACCTTTTAACACTTAAGATTTAGAATTTTTCTCTAAAATTTGTGTTTTAAAATAAAATTTGTAAAAAATCCTATTTTAGCAGGCTTGATTATATCAACTGGTAAGACTTTATTTTACAAGCAATAAGAATTGGATCAAATGATTATTATAATCCAGAGGAAGTATTTTGTAACCATACCAAATGCCATTATACACACTGCCAATACAGATTTAATAGACAAAACTGAACTGTACAAGAATTATTTATTTTTCCTTAATCTCAAAGCTATTTTTAGTAATACAAAAAGCCATATTAACATTTTTCCATTAGAAAACATGATGTACAAAACTTTGGATGAAAAGATATGTCAAATTTCATTTAATTACTTGGGAGAAAAATCCACCACTCCATCAATACCACCCAAAGTGTTTTAGGCAGTGATTAAAATGAAAACAACGCATCTTAATAAACTCTAGTTGTTAAAAGAACAAACCTAGCATATATAATAGTTTCCTACACAGTATTTCTGACTATTCACTTTGGGAGTTATTTTTTAAATCCACTTTTTTTTTTTTTTTAAACTGAGACTTACTACAACCAGGCACTGTACTTGGCCAACTAGTTTTTGAGAAAAAAGTTGGTTAAGATGGGAAAGACCCATAAATCAGTCCTTTGGTTACTAGGTTTGATTTTTAA